ACCTATTTTAGAGCTCAGTTTTTGTGTGTGTGTTTTTTTTAAATCTGGACAAATGATGGAAAGTGCTATTAAAATAAATTATTTACACATGCCTCCCAGGATTGGAATTCTTTTAGGAGTTATCTTCTTCAGCTTTTCAAATAGAAAATTTCAGAACAGCTATACTTCAAAGTTTGCCTATTTTGGGAATTCAATTTTACCATATATTTTGATTATAAAATTTTCCCAAGCATTGAAATGTGATCAAAGTCATTCTTTATAAGCTAATAAAAACCACCTGCTGGCTGCATCCTGTACATACTTCCTCTTTATTTTACAGTATCTTTTATTAGCATTAATCTTGGGCCATGGTTGGGCAGTAGATACAATGGATTGAAACTACAATGTGATACGGTCTGAAAAAAGCTTGCATCAAAAAGCCAATGAACCTAAATTTGGGAACTCATAATTTTATTATTCTGGCTGCAGCCTTGCTGTCCATAGTAACTTTGAGGACTACTTGTATTTCACCTAAGACATGCACGTGGATTTGACTTGAATGCTATTGTTGCTCTTTCTTTTCTTGCCAGCCTGTCCCATTCCTTCCTATCCGCTACTGCCAAGTTATAGTCTCAAGTGCTCTATGAGGCTTTCTCTCCTGATAAATTGCAGAACTGGGTGTAAGTCCTACACTGGCATGTTCTTTTATGCTGTCTTATGATGCTTGTTTCATGGGTGTTAGTTTTGTTTCTCTAGACACTTTTAGGCTTCTGAAACCTTAAATTCAATGAAATAATTAGACTTCAGCTTATTCTTCCTTCCTTAACTTATTAAGTTACTTTGACTAATAGCGATTTCAACAAATAGTTTTTAATATTTCAGCTCAAAACCTTTGTTCATTAAATTAGACAAATTAATCTCTTGCATGCCTCTGTTAAGAGAGCATGGTATGCATTCACAGGCTCTTTGGGTACTGGGACCTATTGAAGACCACATAGTTTCATTTATTGTAGGCAAAACAATTTTCATTAGAGCACCTCTACACCCACAGGCATTATATTTGCCCCCAATGGGAAAATGTTTTTTACTTCAAATTACTGATGTACAGCTTTTAAATCCTGACCCATTAGGGGCTATCAACATAATCCTGGTGAAATCATATATATGAACATCAACAGTCTTTATATCCTAATGGATTTCATTCAGTCATACCAAACTCTAAAAATAACATTGAGTAAGCCACATACAGACACACTTGAATGGCTTCAAATTTATGCCTTGTAGTAAAAATCAGCAGGGTTCCTAAACTAAATTTAGTATTGCTCTCCCCCAAAGACACATGCAGAAAGGGCCTCCCTTTGGGCTTTGTCTATGGATGAGAATAAGCTGTAGGGGTCTTCCTTAGAAGGCCCACTGACGAAGGACAAGAGACATAAGGAAGATATACACCATGAGGGCGGGATAAAGGGGACATGGTTGTATTTCAGTTTGAGGCAAAGGGCAGAAACAATGCGCACGCGTCCTACAACAGTTAGACCAGAAGCTAGATGTGAATCCCAGATTGGTCCTGTGATTCCAGGGTAAAATGCAACTCAACCCAAAGGTACTTTTCTTAAACAAGATGCCAAAATGGCGTTCTTACATGACATTAACAAAATGTTCTTTTTTGGTAGATTTATTTCACCAACAGTCACTCATTATAAGTAGCTCAAGTATAAAAATGATTTTTTCAACTAAATGAAAGTCAAAATGAAAACAAAAATGAAAGAACAAGTCCCTCCCCAGTTACCCTCCTTCAAGTTCTCCTCATCTCTTGACCCATTTTCCTGATCTGGCATGGAAGGCTCTCCACAACCTAGCTTCCACCTCTCTGTGCTGCCACCTCTCTGTGCTGCCACCTCTCTTTGCTGACTCTCTTTTCGGTCCACTTTTCACCCCTCACACTGGTAAAAGCAGCATATTGCTCACTGCCCACAGCCATGCCACTCTTGCTTCTGCATTGACAGTGCTATTCTCTCTGACATTCCTTTCCCCTGAGACAGTCACCTCCATAGCTCCTTCCTACTTATCCTTAAGGATCAGCCCCGGTGCCACCTTCTTCAGGAAGTTTTTCCCAAGTTCCCCAGACCTTGTGAAGTGCCACCCACCCCAGGTTCCAATAGTGCCTTGGACATACTTCTACCAGAGCTCTCACCACTCTGTGTAGTATAATCTGTTATTAATTGCCTACCCTCTCCCCACCCCAACCTCGAGCTTCTCAAGAGCAGGCACCATGTTTATTGATTTGTAGTCACAACACTAAGCACACCGCTGAGATATGGTTGGCACTTAATAAATGAAAACACAAACCCTTAACAAACAAATCACATGGAACATGTCACTAGAGCCCTGGCTGGTGTTGTTGAGTGGTTTGAGCGTCAGCCCATGTACCGAAGGGTCTTGGCTTCAATTCCTATTCAAGGGCACATACCTGGGTTGCAGGCTTGATCTCCTGCCTCAGTAGGGGCTTGTGTGAGAGGCAATCAATGGATGTGTCTCTCACACATTGATGTTTCTCTCTCTCTCCCTCCCTTTCTCCCTTCCACTCTCTCTTAAAAAAAAGGCAATGGAAAAAATATCTTCAGATTAGGATTAAAAAGAATTTTAAAAAAAGAAAATGTCACTGGAATAACTGTTCTACTTCTGATTATAGCTAATAGGTGCACTGTGAGTTCTGAGGACAGCCTGATTCAGAAAAGGAACACAATGAACATTTAGAAACTGGATGCTTTTCAATGTATTTCCTGTATACTACACAGCCCACTTTTTATTAAATGGAATAAAAAGCAGGAAACTGAAGAGATATTCCTTCCAAGTCCTGTAAACCCAAGTCCACTATTATGAAGTCCAATTTAAATGAGTTTTCTTTTTTACTTTTTCTTTAAAATGTATTATAGTAAAAAAGGCTCTGTCTCTATTAATCTTGTTAAGAAAACAGAACCAAGATCATCATTACTAAAATATACGCTTATTTTGGCTAACTTAAATCCTTTAAGAACATCAGCAGTTGCAAAATTTTCCATATTATAGCTCAAAATAGAAAGTTTGAAAAAAAAATGCTTATGGAAAAGTGTTATTTTTGCAGAATTGGACTAGAGTTTAATATACAGCAGCCATCTATAATGAAATAGATGCTTCCTGCTGACAGAGCCAAAACGGGCTCTTTTGCGTTGTCACAGTCAATATCCAATTCCATCCAATCCACTGATGACAATGAAAGATACAGGAGGTGAAATTTATGAACAAAGTCTCTGATGCTGGAGTTTCAGCCCTCACCTATGCTGATCTTTTTCAACACTGAGGAACTTCACTGAGCAATGCAATATTCTCTCTGAAAAAATTCCCGATTGTGTCCCTCTGAAAATTCTTCTATGTTCCTTGGTGGACTATAACTCAAGATGCCAGTTGTTTTTCTTTTTAAACAGGAAGCACAGACAATTTACCAAACAGTGTTTTGGAGTCTGAGGAGAGATTGATTTCCCACAGAGAGTAAAATTCAGTCCAGGACCATTTAGCATATTGACTTTGTTAAGAAAATGCTTGGCTGTATCCATTTAAGAATCTCCTTGATTTTTGATTTGTTTGACATGCCTAAATTTGGTGATTCAGCCATGTAAAACAAAACATAAAAAACCTTATTGCAGCCCAGCTGGCATGGCTCAGTGGTTGAGTGTCAACCTGTGAACCAGGAGGTCACAGTTGGATTCCCTGTCAGGGCACATGCCCGGGTTTTGGGTTCAATCCCCAGTATGGGGCGTGCAGGAGGCAGCCGATCCATGATTCTCTCTCATCATAGATGTTTCTGTCTCTCTCTCCCTCTCCCCTCCTCTCTCTGAAATCAATAAAAATATATTAAAAAACAAACA